GTAATCTCAATACCCTATACTGTACATCCCAAAGAAATAATGTTTGGATCATGTAACCTCGTTGTCATGTTCACACATTTCAATAGGTGATGCACAGAACTATTAAAAAATTGCCTTTGATTTTTCAAAAGAAGTTCCGATAGTGTTCAACGTAATGTAGCATTAGAATAAATATCAACAAAAAGAAATCTTCTTCAAGACAGACCAGAACATAAAGGTTAAGACCTAGGGACAATAAGTGGAAAGGAAAAAGGAATGAGGCAGTTCATAAAACCTAAGTGAAAGTAAACACTAACAGCAAGTGCTAACGAACACATACTTCGTTATATTTAATTTTTTCAATTTTGAAGAAAATAGGTAAAAAGCAGTCCATGATATGCAAGTTAAACTATATACCACGAGCAAGTGCTAACAAAACCATACCTTCATTTCTTTTTCTATTTTGTCCCTGTTTAGAACAGCTTTGCATTTGAGCCCCTTTCATCAAGGGACGTCTTTGAACATTTGCCAATTTTCTTTGGAGTGCCATCAGGCGAAAAACAATATAGGCCAGACTAAACGGGGTCTATTCGCTATTCATAAGGACCGCTATTCATAAGGTCCGCTATTCATAAGGACCGCTATTCATAACGTGCAAATTCCCGTACTTCCGGGTCCGCTATTCATAATGGCAAAAGAGGGTCACTATTCATAAAGAAATAAGGTTCGTTAATCGCTATTCATAACGTGAGATGAGGGTCGCTATTCATAATTCACACTAAGGGTCATTGATCATAAGGACCGCTATTCATAATATGAAATCAGGGTCGCTATTCATAATACGACGAGAGGGTCGCTATTCATAATACGAAATAAGGTTCATTACTTATAAGGGTCGCTATTCATAACACGGGAAGAGGGTCGCTATTCATAATACGAAATGAGGGTCGCTATTCATAATACGAAATGAGGGTCGCTATTCATAATAGGAGAAGAGGGTCGCTATTCATAATAGGAGAAGAGGGTCGCTATTCATAATAGGAAATGAGGGTCGCTATTCATAATAGGAGAAGAGGGTCGCTATTCATAATAGGAGAAGAGGGTCGCTATTCATAATAGGAGAAGAGGGTCGCTATTCATAATAGGAGAAGAGGGTCGCTATTCATAATACGAAATGAGGTTCGCTATTCATAATAGGAGTAGGGGGTCGCTATTCGTAATAAGAAATAAGGGTCGCTATTCATAATATGAAATGAGGGTCGCTATTCATAATAGGAGAAGAGGGTCGCTATTCATAATAGGAGAAGAGGGTCGCTATTCATAATAGGAGAAGAGGGTCGCTATTCATAATAGGAAATAGGGGCTGGTGACCGGAATGATGGGACACGTTCATTATTTAGGCACGCCTTTCTTTCTTCAGAAATGTGAGTTTTCAATAAATATTTTCTTCAAATGTTTGGGACCATGTGGCCTACCCCACCCCCCCCCGGCCTACGCTGTAGCCATGGGATGTCCAGTATGTCGCTTTCTTATTAACATTTAGTTTATTGCTTATGTAATTTTGACTTTTTCGGTATTATGAATAGCGACCCTCTTCTCCTATTATGAATAGCAAACCTCATTTCGTATTATGAATATCGACCCTCTACTCCTATTATGAAAAGCGACCCTCTTCTCCTATTATGAATAGCGACCCTCTTCTCCTATTATGAATAGCGAACCTCATTTCGTATTATGAATAGCGACCCTCTTCTCCTATTATGAATAGCGACCCTCTTCTCCTATTATGAATAGCGACCCTCTTCTCCTATTATGAATAGCGACCCTCTTCTCCTATTATGAATAGCGACCCTCATTTCCTATTATGAATAGCGACCCTCTTCTCCTATTATGAATAGCGACCCTCTTCTCCTATTATAAATATAGCGACCCTCTTCTCCTATTATGAATAGCGACCCTCATTTCCTATGATGAATAGCGACCCTCTTCTCCTATTATGAATAGCGACCCTCTTCTCCTATTATGAATAGCGACCCTCTCCTCCTATTATGAATAGCGACCCTCTTCTCCTATTATGAATAGCGAACCTCATTTCGTATTATGAATAGCGACCCTCTTCTTCTATTATGAATAGCGACCCTCTTCTCCTTTTATGAATAGCGACCCTCTTCTCCTATTATGAATAGCGACCCTCTTCTCCTATTATGAATAGCGACCCTCATTTCCTATTATGAATAGCGACCCTCTTCTCCTATTATGAATAGCGACCCTCTTCTCCTTTTATGAATAGCGACCCTCATTTCCTATTATGAATAGCGACCCTCTTCTCCTATTATGAATAGCGACCCTCATTTCCTATTATGAATAGCGACCCTCTTCTCATATTATTAATAGCGACCCTCTTCTCCTATTATGAATGGCGACCCTCTTCTCCTATTATGAATGGCGACCCTCATTTCGTATTATGAATAGCGACCCTCTTCTCCTATTATGAATAGCGACCCTCTTCTCCTATTATGAATAGCGACCTTCTTCTTCTATTATGAATAGCGACCCTCTTCTTCTATTATGTATAGCGACCCTCTTCTTCTATTATGAATAGCGACCCTCTTCTTCTATTATGAATAGCGACCCTCTTCTCCTTTTATGAATAGCGACCCTCATTTCTTATTATGAATAGCGACCCTCTTCTTCTATTATGAATAGCGACCCTCTTCTTCTATTATTAATAGCGACCCTCATTTCTTATTATGAATAGCGACCCTCTTCTCCTATTATGAATAGCGACCCTCTTCTTCTATTATGAATAGCGACCCTCTTCTCCTTTTATGAATAGCGACCCTCATTTCTTATTATGAATAATGACCCTTATGAATAATGACCCTTATGAATAACGACCCTCATTTTGCATTATGAATAGCGACCCTCATTTCGTATTATGAATAGCGACCCTCATTTCATATTATGAATAGCGACCCTCTTTCTGTGTTATGAATACCGACCCTTTTGTAATATTATGAATAGGGACCCTTATGAATAACGACCCCGATTTCGTATTATGAATAGCGACCCTCTTCTAATATTATGAATACCGACCCTCTTCTTTGATTATGAATAGCGGTCCTTATGAATAATGACCCTTATGAATAATGACCCTTTTCTCCAATTATGAAAAGCGGACCTTATGAATAGCGGTCCCTATGAATAATGGACCTTATGAATAGCGGACCTTATGAATAGCGGTCCTTATGAATAGCGACATTGACCCAGGTACTCTTCACTCAGACCTAGATCCTCCTCAACAAAAACAAAAATTCATCATTCTCGGATTGTCAATAGATTGAAAGAGGTGAATAATTCACGGTCGTAAACTCCAAAAGACCTAGAGCTGTCATCCCCCCTCCAAAAAAAGAAGATGTTCAAGGTTTTACCTTCCTAAAGTGAGAGAAAAAAAACCTGCCAAAATAATCCCTTTCCCCTCAATTGTGAAAAGAAAAGAAAATCTGTAATTTGATTTGAACTTAAGACCTTCCCAATTCAAATCATATTTCATAACCAAAGTTAATGTTCAAGTCATTGAAACCACTTGGGAGTGCTAGAGTAGGGTCATAACCCATGCAAAATTCATAAAAGCTTCACAATTGAGGAGAAGCAATTTTCATGAAATGCTCATTTCGGTGAAAGTGCTGAGTGCAAGCAGCATTAAAAAAAAATGTCTTTCCATTTCAAATTTGTCCATAAAACTCGAATTGCGATTGTTCCATGTCTGCAAGGTTATGTTCTGCAAAATCAGTCATTTTTGTGACATAAAAACTTAATGGAACTGTTAGAGAAGCCCCTTTTTTGTGGTGCTGAGTGATTCAACTATTTTGTAGCACGATACTTTCACAGACTAGACCTCTCACAAAGATCAAAACATTTCTTGTTTTACAGTAATCAAATTCTTTCAGTTGGCTTTCATGGGTAGAGAGTGGTTCTCCAAGAGTTTGCAAGCCAATGTTTTAGCAGCAGTATACGGGACACACCCCAAATCATGCTTGAAATATCACTGTTGGAGCTAACATTTCTCCATGCTCCATACAAATTTGGTTTGAAGAGCAATACCTTGTTCACTTCAAAACGAAACATACTGAAATATTTTCTAGAGATCAAGTCACAACTTTCAGTGTCGATTGAAAGTTTGGGTCAAGGTATAGAGACCAGAAGCAGAAGAAGAGATGTAAATACCCTGTAGCAGACAAGTATGGTCTGTTATGTACAGAGATAAACGGATGTCCCTTGCGGTATTTATTATTTACTCCTTGATAGGCCCTACTTGTTTTCCATCTTACTTCCTCTCTATCTCAGTATCATATTAATTGTTTCACTAAGTTGCTCAATGAAACGAAGAACCCGCTTCACTGGAAACAACTCTTTTGTTTTAAGACAAGTGCTCCTAAAGATTGGCTTGCCAGTCAATTTCTAACACTACACAGATTCCACACGCAAAACGTGGACCCTACCTAACCCTACTCACCATAATAAAACCCCAAAAGCTCTCAACTTGAACAAAAAAAAAGCCTAGAGTAAGAGAGTCACTGGAGCAATTAATGTCTGATTATTTTTTTCTTCTTCCAATCTCCTTGGGATAGTGGACAATAGGTGATCTAACATGTGCTCAAGCAACAAATGCTCTGACCTATATTTTGTCAAAAGATTTAGAGTTACGAAAAAAATTGCACATAATTAGGCTCCTCGTCAGGGCCGGGTCTTATAATAAAGTTGCAATTAATTACAAATAATTCGAAATTAAAATCAATGGCATCTCCTATCTCTTTATTAGTGGAGAGAGTTGCAATTGATATCAACTGCAAATTATTTGTAATCAATCACAACTCTTTCACAACGGGGCCCCAGGTGTATAGTAGGGTTATATGGTCGGGTATGATGTCTGTTAGTTAGTGTAGGGTCCTGACCATGGACGAATTGTCAGCGGAACATGTGTCATGAAACCTGTTTATAATCCCTATTCAGACTCTTACCTTGAGTGACAGTAAGCCTTGCCCGTGTCGTGGCTGTCCCATCGTCATTGCTTGCCTCACACACCACCGACTGGTCGTTGTCTCGGTCATTCCGAAGGGGCGATAACCTCAGCACTGACCCTCCCTCCGTGTCGATGATCAGGTAACGCATACCGCGCACCCTCTTATTGTTCTTGTACCATTCGAACGTTGGGGCGGGGTCGCCCGTTGCCTTGCAGTAGAACGTTGCTGCACCTTCATCTATAGCACCCTCATCTGTCAGACCAAGTGTGATGACCGGTGGTGCTGTAAGGTGAGAGAACAAGGAGATTGTCATTATTTTTGTGAACGTAAAACAATGATTTTCAGGTTTTTCATGTATAGACCACTAAGAATACAGTCATCATAAAACAATGACCATGCAGTGCGGTGGACTTCATCTGGCAAACCTTTCATCATCATTTCGTGGAGTACTTGGAGTGTTTCATCTTTCTGAGTCATTTCCTTTATCTTCTGGAGACGATTGTCCATGAGCCTCAACATTTCAGCCGGATTGATTTCTCCAATCTCTTAGATCATTTTCCTCTGCTGCTTCACCTTGAAGATCTCGTATGCAGAGACATCTTCAACTTTCTTCAGTGGCAGTGCTGATCTGGATAACATGTCTACTATATACATGAGTTTGCCTTGTTTGTATTGTACCTCTATAGGTTATACTTCTGTAGCCTTAGCTGCATTCGTTGGAGTCGTTTTGGTGCTGCTAGCAGTGGTTTAAGGAATATGCTCTGCAGAGGTTTGTGGTCCGATTCAACTGTAATCTGGTCTTTTCCGAAGAGGTATTGGTTGAAGTGTTCGCATAAAAAGACTATCGCCAAACACTATTTTTCAATTTGAGTATACCTCGTTGCTGTCTCTGTAAGCGCTCTAGATGCAAAGGCCACTGGTTGAGAACCTTGCATCAATGTTGCTCCCGTCCTGTTTCACTTGCGTCGCATTGTATCGTCACTTCTTCGTTGACATCAACGTAGCGTTGAACTGGTGTTGCTGTCACAAACTTCTTGACTCTGGTGTTTGCTGTCTCCTGGTCAGTGCCTCAAAACCATTTAACATCCTTGAATGTCAGTTTTCTGAGTGGCTCGCATTCTGCTGATAGGTTTGGCAAGAACTTTGCCAGGTAGTTCACAATGCCTTATACAATTCTGTCCCTGATTAAGTCATCTCTGAGACTCCCAAATTCGCAGGATTCTGTAAAGCCTTCTAGAACAGGCACATATTGATCTATGGACTCTCTTTGTTCTTGTTCTTTTGTATCAAACTGGTATCGTTAATAGATCACATTCACCTTGGGGTAAAAATGAGTTTTAAATGGAAGAGCTTGATTCCTTGTTTTCTTAAGAGAATTTGAGTGTGGTGGATGATTTGTAGCACTCTTTTCCTACGGCAACGAGTGACAGAAAAGTTGCAACCCTTATCTTATCTGGGGGGTGTTTCACAAAGATCCTAAGTCCAACTTAACTCTAAGTTGGACTTAAATATTATGGAGAGCCATTTGTAGCCTTAAAATAAAATATATTAAAAAGCAAAAATTTAAGAATTTTAGACTTCTCATTCATTCCACATCAAGAACATGTCATCTCCTTGAAAATAGAACATATTTATGATTTGAATCAGTGTTTTATGCCTTTAAAATAACTTTTACAAAATATTTTCAAAGATGCTAATGGCTTTCCATAACTTTTAAGTCCAACTTAGAGTTAAGTTCTACTTAGGATCTTTGTGAAACACCCCCAGGTGTATTGTCAAGCTCAGTTGCAACCTCATAATTTTCCAACTGGGACTGGAAAAATGACCAGTTTCCCTTCAAATCCCCTTTCATTTCCATTTGGCATGGTATTGGAAAGTTTATTAAGAGGTCATGACTAACCGACGAAGTACCCACACTTCCAACTTGCTTAGCAGTAATCTTCTGAGCACTTGTTCCAAACATTGGCTATCGTATATTGCTTGAAAATCCCTCTTCAAAGGTCCCACTCTGATACCATGTTTCAGGTTAGAATCAAGTGTGTCAAGATGGCTGACTGTCTGTATTCAAATTGTCCTTCTACTAAATGTCTTGTTGGAAATATGAATAAATTTGAGATTGAAATTGAATTGAAATTAAGAACAAACTCAGACCTTATTAGTTCCTTACTGGATGCAATATTTTGACAGATCACCAGTTCGGTTTTCGACAAAAACACTCAACCATACACGCTTTTTATTATTTATTGATAAATTTGCCAAGGCAATTGATAATAAGTCACACACGGTTGTTTTTATTTGGACTTCTCCAAGGTCTTTGACACTATTAATCTCGATATTTTACTCTATAAACTTGCTTATTATGGCATTCGAGGAACGGTCTTGGAGTGGTTCAAAAATTACCTTACCAACAGAACCCAATTTGTTTATATTAATGATTGTAACTCAAGTATTGGATCAATAACTTGTGGGGTACCACAAGGCTCTCTCTTGGGCCCGATTCTTTTTATTATTTATATAAATTATTTCATAAATTCATCCTTGGTTCTTTCGTTCCTACACTTTGCTGACGCATCGAGCATTTTTTGCTCACATCTCAATCCTAGAATTTTTCTTGATTCCCTGAATTTTGAATTGCTTTTTGTAGTTGAATGAATACAAGCAAACAAATTGTCCCTGAATCTGAACAAAACTAATTTTATGATTTTCAGCAATAAATATCTAAGCTACCAGGACAATTTCTGGTTAATGACTTACCCTTAACCCAGATAAACTCCACTCAATTTCTTGACCGTTTTATTGCCTGTAAACTAACATGGAATACTCAAATTGATCATTTATGCAAACTGATGTCTAGGAACGTAGGTGTAATAAATAAGTTGAAATCTTTTTTTTTCCATCTCATGTCTTAAAAATATTATATTTAACTCTTTTTTTACCTTATCTAAATTACGGGGTGCTAGCGTGGGGAAATTGTTCAAAAACAAAAATCAATTCGGGGATCCAAAAAAGAGCAATAAGAATAATAAATCTGGCAGATTTCCAGGCACACACTAACGTTTTATTTCTTGCAAATCGTTTCCTGAAAGTACCTGAACTAATACATTTATCTCCTCGCAATTTTCATGTATCAGCTAAGTAAGGATGATTTGCCTCATATATTCCCTCCCATGTTCGCTTTAAATAGTGTCATTCACTCCTATCCCACAAGACAAAGAGACAACTTCCATCTCCCCCCAATCCGGACAGTTTTTGCCCCAAAAGCAATCATATTATATACCGGTCCCTCTTTTTGGAATGGTTTGGATTCGGAGGTTAAGGAAGCACCATCGTTTAATTGCTTTAAACGCAAACGAGTTTTTCTTTTAAGTTCTTACATCTTATATAATTTGTTTGCCCTCCCCACAGTCCTTTTTTCTTCAATGTTAATCTTCATTGTTAATTAATGATGCCTGTTCCGGTGTTTTTAATGTATACATGAACAAACAAGTTACTTTGTGCTATGCTAACTAAATTGCTCGGGTGACTATTGGTATTGGTGCCAATGCATGATTTTGTATAAAAAATGTCCTTATTTCATTGTGTTTTAAATTCTCCCCTCTTAATTAGGTCTTTCTGTACTGCTAGTACTGTTTCTTTTATCTACATTACTTTTTTTCTTCCACGAACCTATATTATACAAGCCCTGCTTTTTAATAGGTTCCTCACATTCTACTTTATCTATTATATAAATTTAGAATCATTGACATGTGCTCATTTATACTACAATTGTAATGTATAATTTGTTATTTTACAATGTATGTTCATATTTTCTGTGAAATGTGGAACATTAAACTTGAAAACTTGAAACTAGTTGCTATAAAATATTATCCTATATATATATATATATATATATATGCACATCAAATGAAAAACTGTTTTGCTTGCCAATATGACAGGCTTGGCAAAGAAATAGGAATATTTTTTTTGTTCTAGGGCAAGAGGGCAAGTTGATACACCCTGTTATGATAAGATTGTCAACTTACATGCAGCAGACTGTCCAATGGTGAGAACGAGAACCGTGGCCAGCACCACCACTGCAACACAATCTATTCTCCACTGCTCCATGATTCAAATGATTAGATGTGTCAGTTCGTCACAGTGTGAATGCACCTTGTCTTGTGATCACTGAATCAAAAAAGGAAAAGTCCATTGGACTTTGGACGTAGTTTCTACTTTGACATAAGCTTTATTTATTCACTACTTTCATTCATGCATGTTCATTTCATTTAGTACATGACCAATTTTACTCCGTGCAATATCTTCGATTCTCATTTACGTCATTCTTATTCCGAGTCATTCATATTGCCTGACTTCACTTGCAAGTGTACAGTTTATACCTCAATAAAATAACGAAAAGGGAATACTATTTTTCAAGTGTTTAATTATTGTCTGTGCACAGGGGCGTCGCTAGACCTTTTCAGTGGGGGTAGGAGGGGTGTAGACAGGGCCGGCGATCGCGGGGGGACGGGGGGACACCTCCCCCCTCAATTTTTTAGAGGGGATCTTCCCTCCCTCAAAATTTGAAAAAGTGCATACAAAAAATGAAAAGCAAATACTGCTAAAGACTGCAACACACTTTTAGGATTTCGAGGGCCCAAGAGTGCTGCGTTTAGACAAATAAAAATGCAAAAATCTTCTCACTCGGTAGCTACGCTCCCTCGCATAATACCCTTCAAAATGTACAAATAAATACCGTGAAAATTGAAGTGTGAAAAAAGTATATTGCTTGTTTTTATACTATAGTTTTGCTAAGGAATGTAGTTTTTTAATACAACAAAACTTTAAAAACTTTGAGGGGGTAGTCACTTCCGTCACCTTCACCCCTCTCATTCACTATGCTCCCTCACACTTGCGTACTGATGGGGGGGGGGGGCATTGAGGGCAGTTGTCCCCCAAATGAAATTCAAATGTGGTTTATTTCTAATTCGATAACAGTGATTTACAAATCTTTTTTAAATGGCATGATTTTTCCCTGGGCTTCCGGGGACTCTGCCCCCTGTTCCCCACCAAGGGCCCTAAGGCGGGCACCTGGTTGCTCATCTGAGCGTAATCAAATGCCTGAGCTTCCAGGGGCTCTGCCGCCTGTACCCCACCA